TGTTCCAAAGTAGAGCCGATGTCCGCACCATATCAACCATGTCGCCGTAACCCGAAAAACAGTCCGCTCACTCAACAACATCGAGTTATACCGAGGGGATCAATCAGGTGAATCGGGCAAAAAAAAACAAAGGGTCTCCTATGGATCGATGGACAGAACATAAATAAATGCTTTCCTGCCAAGAGCCCATCAAGAATACATTCCGTCAAAAATTAATCAAATAATAAATTATCATTTGTTTTCCTTTTTTTTTATTAATTTAAACTATTCTCCTCATTTTTAATACTATTATTAGAACTGATGGAAATTGAGGACAATTTTATCAAGAATAAATTTTGAAAATTTTTAATTAAATAACAATTTTTATTTGTTTTATTCTCTTTAATTATTTTTAATTCTTTTTCTCAATTTTAATTTTGTTGTTTGAATTAATAAAAATTTGAAGGTTCATTCCGTTGTCAATTGCTTAGTGTAAAAGGGGCGCGTCGAGTCCTAATGCCATATCTCCGCACCACGGCCAGCCGCTTTGGGAACAGCTTCGGAACGGATGAAAATTGTGGGAGTTAGGCGAGGCAGGCGCGACCGTTCATCATCTCGATTTCAAGGGTTAGTTTTAATAATTGATGGGGGGGATTTTAGGGATCCTTTCCCGACCCCTAATTTATTCCGACTACTATGTTGAAAGCGCCTGTCCCGACCCCTAATTTCTTCTGACTACTATGATGAAAGCGCCGTTCGATTCCTCCTTAGTCTTAACCCAAACCCCAATCCTTTGTATTTCGGGTGGCCGACTGGTCTGTGGCCGCCCGACAACGGTACCGCACCCAGTAGCAGTAGATGTGCCGGGTACTTGAGGCCGACCAGAAGAAGACAAAGTTGGCATTTTTAGAGGCCCCGTAGCGGTAGGCTAGGTCTAGGCCAGTACCAGCCCATCCAGTTTGAGTCTAGGGCCAGTACGGGCAATATCAGAGTCTGCAATAATGTTTCCCTCCGAAAGGGAGGAGGTACCAGTTGCTTGGGAGACCGAGCGGCCTGTAAGTCACCGCCCAGGAGGCAAGTAGGCCGCTATATCAAGAGGCCGAGGGAAGAGCCCGGCCTCATTCTTCAGTGTGCAAGTTTGGCGACACGCTGTTGGAGCGCTGGCTGGAGTGGCGCTGGGTACTACAACGCTGCTGGGAGGAAGAAGCCGGGAGCTTCCACCTTGGCTATGGTGGAGCTCTACCGGTAGGAGGAGGAGGGAGAAGAGGACCAAGGGGGAGAGTGGCTAGGTACTTACCTGGCTATGGTGGACACCATCCTCATCACCTTGTTAGGCGCTGCATCTGGAACGCCCCAGTAGGGGTAGTGCTGCATCAAGGAAGCTTGGGACAAAGTCAGGCATGGCGGCTGAGTGGGCAGCGGCATAGCTGCCTTGTGTAGACCTTGGGACAGGAGGGCAGCGACATAGCTGCTTTGTGTTGTCCCTTGCACAGGAGGGTGGAGCCCTCAGTAGTCCGCCATAGCCTCGGCCTACATGAAGAGGAAGAGGAAGGGTGGCCATGGCTACTATGAAACACCCGCGGACGCGTCCGCGGGTCCGATCTCGGATGGCGGACGCAGATGGGGCCACGTCCGCGGCGGACCTGGTCCGCGCCGCGAACCCGATTTTACCAGAATTTTCCTGAATTAAATAATAGGTTAAAAATATATATAATATATATATATGCGCTTGTAGGGAATTTTAAGCCCTACAACCCCGTATTTTTTTTTTTGAATCCGACTTTGTTGAGGATTTTTAAAAACTCAAAAACTAAATTCGATTTAAAGAAAAAAAATATATATATATATATAAAGAAAAGCTGGATTTTTTTTTTGTCATTTTTCATCATGAGATATATGGTCCTTGAGTTCACCTGTATTTTTTTAGAAATGAATTTCTGTTTTTTGCAGGGGTATGAGGTGTTTAAGAAAAGTGCAGATGCAAAATTTGAAAATAAAGAAAGAAAAAACGTCAAAAAAGGGGTTTGATTGATTGATTGATTGTGAGTCAGTGAGTGAGTGTGTGTGTGTGTGTGTGTGTGTGTGTGTGTGTGTGTGTGTGTGTGTGTGTGTGT